AAGATAAAAAGAAAAGTCATGATGTTCAAGCTACCACAGGAGCAAACAATAGGCATTCATTTGTAAACCTATATAATGCTTTTTGTAAAAAACAGAGTGTATGAACAAGTATATTACCAGCTACCTGTTCAAGGGGACCCCATTAATAATTCCATACTATTAAGAAGTAATTTTAGGGGTACATAGCTGGCTCAGTCAGAAGAGCATGTAACTTTTGATCTCAGGGTTGTCAAGTTGAGCCCCATGTTGGGTGCAGAGATTACTTAAATAAATAAAACTTAAAATATTTTTAAAAATAAGTAACTTTAGGCATTTCACAGAGGAAGGTAAAACAAAACAAATCCTCAGGAGAAAGCTTAAACAAGAATATTTCAAGTGAAAACAATATTGATCATAATGATACAAATCAAAGAGAAAATTCAGAATTAAACACACAATGGTCCAACAACCCCTTGTATCTGAAAGCCCCCTGCACAGTGTTTCATGATCATGAACACACAACTGATCAAAAATAAGTGGTCCAATAACCCCTTGTATCTGAAAGCCCCCTGCACAGTGTTTCATGATCATGAACACACAACTGATCAAAAATAAGTGACAGGGTCATGATAATTGTGGGGACTTTGACCCCAGCTGTTATTTCAAATTCTTCTGGATGAGAGAAGTGTATCAAACTGAGCTCCACAGCCAAGCTTTAGAGGATCCTGAATTGAAACAGCAAGCAAACATTTAAGATTAGTTGCCTTTTCCAAGGATTCGTAGTTTTCATCAAATTCTCAAAGGCATCCATGACAACCAAAGGATTGCTAGGGATGGTGCAAAACCATCTGCCACTTGTTTCATTGAAATTTCTTCACTTTAACAAACAAAAATGGATATTTCTCAGCAAGAAGAGTTTATATCAAAACAAATAGAACTGCTATCAGGTTTCTTGGTTGTACCATGAGACTTCTAGAACATAGTACATTTTTTTAAATAAAGCTTCAGTTTAGATTTTGTTAAAAGTGTTCTGAAAGGCATCAAAGAAATTACGTTGGCACATTACTGAAAAAGTTCAGAAGGAAAAAATAATAGTCTGTTTCTCAACTCTTAGATAAGGTTCTTTTAGGCATCTAAAATGATTTCTCAAATGTCCAAATATCTGATGGAATTAGTCCTTGAACCAGATAATTAAGAACTACCTGTTTTCTATTCTGATATTATGTCTTAGGAGTAGAAACCCAAATGACCCACCCTCCTCTCCACAGTGGGGAGGATATGACTGAGGGCTTGATTCGGGCATTCCCCGTCTCCTAGACAAATATCGACAAACCTCTTACCATATTTAGGATAATTACATGAAAGGTCACCTGATGGATTCCTTCCTGTGGCTGAGATGCTAAAAACCTAGTGGCAGCATGCCTTGTTTGACAAGAGATGTTAACTCTCTCTTTCCCCTAAGGCAGAATTAATTCTGAAACTCTAAATAAAACTCAGAGCCCTTGGGGATCCCTGGGTGGCGCAGCGGTTTAGCGCCTGCCTTTGGCCCAGGGCGCGATCCTGGAGACCCGGGATCGAATCCCACGTCGGGCTCCCGGTGCATGGAGCCTGCTTCTCCCTCTGCCTGTGTCTCTGCCTCTCTCTCTCTCTCTCACTGTGTGCCTATCATAAAAAAAAAATAAAAAAAAAAAAAAAAAAAAAAAAAAAAAACTCAGAGCCCTTGATGGGCACTGACACAGAAAGACCACATATTCCCTCCCTCTAATGTTTGATTACCTATCTGATCATATAGCAGACATGGTATCTAGCACGGTTAATCAAATGAAGACTTCAGTCCGATTTGGACCAACTCTCAGAGGTATGCTTAAGGCCCTTCACCCATCTTGTGTTAAACCTCCCCAGAGTCCAGCTGCCTGCTGCCCAAGGCAGAAGCTCCATGCTGAGCCATAAGCATCAAGTGCAAGAATTTATAGGAAAAAAATGCACGTGGGGACCATACTGGAACAATATGCATTTTGGGAAGCAAATCTTTAATGGCTGATGTAAAACATCATTCACATGGAATTTAAGAGGTAAATGCATCCATGTAAGTGCCAGGCATATGCTATTTGGAATGTACACATTGTGAAGAAAATTAAAAATGGGAAGATTAGCAGAGTAGAAAGAAGCAAGAATTGCCCTCTGAGAGAGAAGTAGACAAGTGTCAGTGTCTTTTGAATTATGCTATTCCTAACCCTGAACCTTTTGTTGCACATGACTGAAGTTCTGGAATATTTTAGAACACTCATTGCTTTTAAAAAGAAGTCTTTTCACTCTGGTAGGTCACATTACAGAACAGAGACCACAAATTTATTTCAAGTTCAATTTTTTTTGGTTTTCAAAATCACAAACTTAATTGCAAACACTCCTCCATGACTCCAAAATGGAGATATATGTCACATTGCTAAGAAATCTTTAGTTCCCAACATTACGAGGTAGGAATTTTGTAGTTTAAGCCAGAAAATGGAGGTACTGCCCAATTTGAAAAGGGCTACCTGACAAACAAGGAAGGTGCTTTGGTCAGAATACACATGAAGCCCGGCAGATAATGATTCAGAAAGGCAGGCCAAGGCTAAGCTCTCCTTTTCCCAAGAAACTTCCCTCTTGCTCTCCACCCCCACTCCCCCCCCGCCATCTCCTGCAGGGCCTGGGCTCGGGCTAGGGCTTGGGCTCAGACATTTCCCAGACTATGTTCTGCTGCTGGACCCAAGACACAGGCAGGCAGAGAACTGGGACAGACTCAAGTCTCACCACACATTTTATGAATTACAGTGCCTGGGAGGCATCAGCTTTAAGGAAAGGCAAAGACAGAGATAAAGAAAATGTGCAGAAAGTACATAAAGATAAATGCCTGTAAAATCACTGTTGTTTTAATGCATTCCATATTGAGGATATAAAAATGTGAATATTCTAAATGATTTAATGGCACTAGTGTCCAGCTAAGACCTGTTTGTCGAACAAGATGACGATGCTATTTTTATGCAAATATTTATAGTAGCTAATCCTGATTTTTCAGTTATAGTTCTGGGGAGCTGGGTTAGTGCAGAAAAATGCCTTCAAAATGTGGGGCACATCACTTTCTCTCATGAAAGCTAATAAAGATGAGACAGATCTCCTGGGGCCTAGCAGCAATGCCTCTCTCTCTGTAGGCTATGTGACTGTTTAGTGCTACTGGACTAACTTCTTCCTTCTGGTTCACTGTGGGACAGGATTGTTCTCAGCCCTTGTCTGTTAGACCTGGGTTCAAATCCTGACTCTTGATCTTATAAACTCTGAAAGCTTTAGGAAGTTACTTAATCTTATAAGTCATAGTTTTCTTATCTATAAAATAAAGACAATGATACTTTCTGTATTGTGGGAGATTAGATGGTATACAGTATTGCAGGTCAACTGATTGGCAGAGTACCTGATATACAATGTGAGCATAAAATACATATATTATTATTATTGTAATTACTATTATTAACATTATCTAGGGCATAGATAATATTATGCCCTTCAGAAGCTCACAGCTTCTCAGAACAGATTAACAATCAGGAAACATTTACCATAGTTTTGCCTATTTCTGACCATAGGATCAACCTCCAGAAGGTAACTCAACCTTTCAGTGTCTCAGCTTTCTCACCTTTAAGGATTTTGTTTGCCCACTTATCTCAGGAAAATAAATTCTTGATTTAATCACTAAAATTGGTCACAATGTATAAAAATATGATTATCATCAAACTAAGATTTTTAAGCAAAATATAAATTGACTTGAAGTCTGAATATATTAAATACTATGTTTGAAAATCTTAAAAATTTGAGAATTAACCTATCCATTTAAATACATGGCCACTTAATATTGAGAATTTATTTGTTTTAGCATTTAACTGTTTGTGATAATATAACTGTCCCACCAGGACTTGGCACCTAAAAAGTATGATACATTTTAAAAGGTTTTTAGAGATTCAATTCTAATGAGATTTAAGGTCACACAGCTGGCATGAAGCAGAGGCAAAATCTGAACCCAGGTCTTTCTGTCAGTACAGCCAGTGATCTTTCCACAAGGCCACAGAGAGCTATTCTGCATATGTCTTGAAGTCCTTTCAGGCCTCGCAAGTGTCTTGATCAAAGCTGGCAGGCATTCACTGATTTATTCAAAATTTGTTGATCTCTTCCATATGGACTAAATCTGGGAAAGACAAATTTTGCCTTATTGCTGAACCAATATGAAATCCTCAGAGGTAATGGAGTTACATAAGATTATTCAGAAATTCTTTCCTTCTATGAAATATAGGAAAAAGCATTGATAGAAAGCTTATTTTTAGAGTCTATCCTATATATAAATACAATATGGATTGTGATTTATCTGAAAATCTAAATATTCTAGAATCCTGATATAACCCTCTTTGTTTTTGACCGAATTTGCTATCAGATAGGCCTGCCTCAGACTTTATTCAAACATATTTATTTAACAAATGCTATAAGGTCCTCTTAAAAGATACATCCCTCGATGAATTTGCTGTGGTGTGCCAGAAGACATCCAAAGGACATGAATGAGCTCCCTTTCCTTTCTCTTACCTTGAATGAATTGCCAAATATATTCTTTGTGTGAAACAAACTTAAACCACACATGTTTGTCTTTCATGGCAAAAGCAAAAACAAAAACAAAACAAAACTAAGGTTTCAAGTAGTCATAGCCTCAATGTCTCACACACCTTGCTGGCACATGTGTTAGATGAGGGATATCACTCAAGAAACTTGGCTATTACATTTTTAAACATGTAAGAAATACATAAGCCTTCAAAAGATAAGCCAATTGTCTTCTTGAGTGTCCCACAGAAACATAACATCATCCCTAATAGTCCCTATTCCTCATACATAACCCATTTCCAACTTGAAATATGAATGTACATTCCAAGTCTACTACCACCTGTGATGGGCAACTAAGCAATCCATGCTCACTCACTGCTGACAATTCGCAACATGACTGCAAAATTTACCTCTCAAGTTCTGCAATCTTCTTGTCCTTGTCATTCTTTTCATTCTCCACCTCCTTGAGGATCTCCAGCAACCGGTCGACTTCCGCTTGAGCCTTGCCACACTCATCACGGTAGTAAGATGCCTCTTTATCAAGTTGTTTTATTCGGTCTGCAAACTCGGGATTCATCCTGGAGTCATCTTCAATATTATGAGCCTTCAACATTATATTTTTAAAGAATGTAGTTAAGACAACAATTTAGAACAATAGGCAGTACAGTCACCAATGGCCCAGAAATTATCTTTGGAGAAAAAAATAATAACCATCAAGAATTATGGGCATACTGTCAGTTAAAAGGCAAAATGGAAAATGACATGTTTCAGCTACCTTAGAACAATGTTGATTTTAAATTATAGCTTCACAGGAGAGTTTCTTTTATTGTTAATATTTTATTGCATTAAATGTTACTACTTTTAGGAGATTTTTTTCCCCACTAAGAAATGGGAGATTAGTTGAGGGAGAGATTGTGACATCTTTATCCTGATGTTTTGGCAAGCAGAACTAAGACAATTCAACTCCTTACAATTAAGGAGGTGATTCATACCAACAGCTTCCTTTTCCAGTAGAGAAACTGAGATAGATAAAACAATATTAAATTATTTTTCCAAGAACCATCAAAGGTATATGTAAGGCAAGGAACATGTAAGAGACTGCTTGATCACTGAACACTTCATCCCACTGAGAATTTTCAGCAGAAGATGTAGGTTGAGAGAAAGACTTGCAAGTGAGGAAGGGCTTTCCAGCTAACAGTCATACCCATAAATTCTTGTTCTCTTGATTAAATTTAACCTGAACCAGGAGGAGGATGAGCTAATTCATGAACAAGCACACAGACGAGAATCTGCAAACACATGCATGGGTGGGTGGTAGCTTCACACACAAAAACATACACAGGCAACAACACAGCAACAATACTGCAGAATAATTTGCAGCCAAAGTATTTGTGATTCTTGCGTGTCTGAAAGTGTGTTATGACTTTTTTTTTCCCAAAATAAACTTTTGGCTGAAATATTCTCAGACAGATGGAAATAACACTGCACTGCAATGTTTTGCCTACCCCTTGTTTCCCATTATTCCTAATTGACTTCTTCAAAGAGTAGGCAGGGAAAAAACAAGTAGTTTAATAACAGTGCACATTCAACAGAGAAAGTTCAGAGAAGTCATATATGTGTGTATCTCCAAAATCCATGTGTGAAATCATACAATGTTAACAATTTATTAGGACTTAAGTTGTTCTGCTGTCTTGCCATGTAGAATAGATGTTCACTGTATTTTTATATCTTTTTGTTTAATTTCAGGGAAAAAACAAGGCAAGCAAGCTACAGCTACTGTGGGGTTAAATGAATCATGCATGGTTAGAAAAATTAATACTAATACTACTTTACAAGGGTGACAGCTTTTGCAATGATTTAGTTGAAAAAAATTAAAAAATTAGTATAAAAATAAATTTCTTATTTATGACAAAATAATCATTTTTAGAATAATATTCTTGCATGTAACATATTATTTAAGCATGAGGATAGGAGGAAAATAATTTGCTTTCATGTTGTTTAATCTAAGATTTCCTTATTCAAGAAATAAACTCAACTACTATGCAAAAAGAACTTGGGAAAAATTATTAATTCGACATACTCTCCAGTACTGGTTTATTTTCTTTTACCAACATTTCTCAGAGATAATTTATTTTTATTTACTTAGTATGTACACTGGATTTCATTCTACTAGGTTAGTGAGCTTTTTCAGTATAATTAAAATAATCTAAAAGAGAATCCTGAGCTAATATGCCTTTAGAAGTTTATTTATCTAACAATTTTATTTTAAACTGAAGTAATGAACATTTAAATTTGTTAATCTCCACTTTTAAAATGTAGAGTAGATATTCTATTTTAAAAGAAAATAACTATTCCATATATCTATTTCTATTTGTATAAGAATTCATTACTCTTATATCAGAAAAGTGCTAAAAATACAGTTTTAAAAATTTCTAAGAAAGACAAACAAAATGTTGATACTAATTCTCTTCCACTTTTATGCTATATTACCATTATTTTAGGCAGCTAAAAAGCTTTTCATGACAGTTTCTCAAACTACCTGACCAAGAATATTAAGATCTTTTAAAGAGAACTCATGAATTGAGCTAGAAATGTGCAAAACAAACATAAATGCTTTGATTCCATGTTCCTGATTTAAGTTACGATTCCTTTCTTGATCCTGACTTAAAGATTCACAAAGAGCTAGCAGTTCAGTTAGCCACTGTGCTTTATTTTAGTTGCTTTTCTTATGATTATTATTATCATTATTTTTAATAAATGGGTACAGGATTACTAATTGTGAGACTTAGAATCTAAATCTAGCCCTGTGTCTTATGAGTACTACGGACAAAGGAGTTAGCCTCTCCAAGGACAACAAAAGCTATGAATAATAAACATGGGAAAGGTATTATTCATTTGTATTATTATGACTATTATTTAATGATATGCATCCCACCAGTGCAGCTTGTTATACAGCTAGGGTACTGGTTTATTTAGTTTTTCATCAAGATAGTACATATATCTTGGAGAAGCCTCCCCACTAGGCTTACAGAAAAAGGAGTCTGCTGGTAGATGAGTATCTGAGCACATTCTTTATTTTAACTCTGTAAAGAGAAGGTAACCTAAAGCCAGTTTTCAATACCAGGTGAAATTAGATGGTTGGTAGTCTTTGCAACCAAACAAATGAATATGGTTAAAGGACACATGGGATGTTTAGAAGTACAGAAAGCCTAGGAAAAGACATGCCTGAATCTAGACCACTGTTGGCCTCATGATATTAAAGTTAGATCATGTTATTAAAACAGATCATAGTCAAGTTTACAGTTAGCCTGATATCTGTTAGATAATACTTGTAGGTGCTAATGACTCTTCCTTTTAAATGAAATAAGCAACCACAAGAATACCTTGGAGTTAAATCCATCTCCATATCAATGATAGGTTACAATTCTTTGAAGGGTTATTAAACAAAGATGCAAATAGAAAAAAAATGCAAATAGATACCATTTAAAAAACTTAAAGTCAATAGAAAGCTTTAAGAAAGAATCATATAGAGATGGATGAGTAACAGTTGCTTCTGGGTCATCACTAGTGTCCATGCAAAGACTCAAGGGAGAGGAGTTTCCCATGACTGATAGCTGCTTAGTCCCAGATCCAACCTGAGTCGTGAGGGCAAAAGTCTCCAAGGAATTCATAAAAGACACAGCAAGTAACCACCTCTATTCAGCTTCAATCATAACTTTTCAGCTGTGGACTAAAATTGCTAACCAGTGTAGCATAAGTGTGTTATACTATGATATACAGACATGAGGATTATAGTATGCTAAAGAAATACAGGAGGAACTTGAGCTTATAAAGAAGTGCTTCCTTCCAAGTTATAAGGCCAGAGCCTACTCTAAAAATGAAGTGAAGGAAGCACTTTATTTGCATTTAGCAATGCTCTTGCCTTTTCTAATTATAACATGGATTCTTTAAACTAGAATGGTAGCTATTGATGGGGATTAAAAGTAGGTAACAGAATTGGACCTAATATACTTTAGACACTACAGAGAAAAATAATAAATATATTTGAATGATCATTATCTAATAAATTCCTATCACAGCATTCTGACCCATTCAAGGTTTTTCTTTTTTAATTTTTTATTTATGATAGTTAGAGAGAGAGAGAGAGAGAGAGGCAGAGACACAGGCAGAGGGAGAAGCAGGCTCCATGCACCGGGAGCCCAACGTGGGATTCAATCCCGGTCTCCAGGATCGCGCCCTGGGCCAAAGGCAGGCGCCAAACCGCTGCGCCACCCAAGGATCCCCCATTCAAGGTTTAAACTAAAAATGCACAGTAATTATTTTCCCTTGTGGATCTGTCAATTTGAAATTAATTCTCCCAAAAGGTCAGGAAGTGACTGGCCATTTCATTCTAAGGCACATCAACTCTGTCCCCTCTCTTCATTTGTCAGGAATCTAGCTCTTTAAAATGCAAATTGGTGTGGATTTCATGGTTTTAGAAGCTATTTATCATAAATATAGGGAAGAACATTGTCACTTTCAAAGACATCTCCAGTCATCAAAACCAAAAAAATATCGATGAGCATTCTTTTCTTAGAGATTTAATTTTGCTGATTAAACCAGTCAGTTTAAAGGGAAATTCAAGTATCTGGTTCTGCTTCAACATATTTCTGATCACTTTTAGAGCAGCTCTCAAACATCTCTCAGGAACACAGAAAATTGGGGAAAATATATTTCAGAAAAGTCTGTATTGCATATTAGATCAGTAAGTTTTGAGGGTCCCCCAATTATGTTTTCCTACATTTCCACATGTAAGGAAATTTCCCCACAAATGGAAATAATCAAAACAAACTTTGGAGCCTCACTGATGTGGGCACGCCTTGGAATTTTGATGTGAACTGACTTTGAAAGTCTGAATCAAGCACAAACAAGAAATCTGGTCATGACTTAGGACAAAGAGAACATAACAATACCTAGTGGCTATTTAAATTATAGAATTTAGAACTATTTCAGGAAATAAGGCAAAGATTCAGGTTAATATTATATTTAAATTAAAGTTAAGAGCAAAAAGTGCCTTAAGCCAAACCAGAGATTGATAGTATCGATATGAAAAATCACAAGTTTATTAATATTTCTTGGGTAAAGGTTGGATGTTGATTATTTTCAGTAAAATTCTAGTTCATCATTCTGAGTGCCTAGAAAGGAAAGCATTAACTTTGGCCCAGAAACCTGCTGCAAAACTGGGCAAGGAATATTCAATTATAATATTATATAGCATTCTTTCTTTGAAATGGGGCTTAACAATTTTTAAAAAATCATTTCTTTCAAAATAAACAAATGATTAGTCATGATCATAAAGCACAAGCAGAACACTAACTAATGAGTCTGATGATTTTTCTTCGCTGCTACTTATGAGTTTCAGCAATAATTTGTTAAATTTATGCCCAGTGAAAATATGATTCTTGATTGCAGTACTTTTGGGGGTTTAAACATTCTTTTCATATCTAAGCAACAGAAAAGGGCATATAAACTATTTAAACATTGTATTTTATTTCAGTCTTCTAAAAGAAGTTCCAACCTTCACATAATTCTGTTATAAATAAGCGTTACTTTTTAAAATAAAGG